GCACCATATGACCCCTTTAAAACAAGCGGTTCATTCATAAATCCGTGAGATCATGGTGGAAACACAACCGGAAGACAACAAATGCAGCGCTAAAAAGGGGTGGGGCTACATGACATCAATAGAGGGCAAGCTCAGGCACTTTTAGGCTGATGATACACAGGGGAACTTTGGGCAATGTCTAGAGCAGGGATCCGAGATCCACTTTCCTGCAGAGTTTAGCTCTAATCCTAATCAAACACACCTGAGCATGCTAATCATTGTCTTCAGAATCATCAGAAAATCGCAGGTAGGAGAGTTTTATCAGGGTTGGAGCTAAACTGCAGCGCATTGGCCCTTCAGGGCAAGATTTGAGGAACCCTGGTCTAGAGCAGTGGTTCCCAACCCTGGTCCTGAAGGCACCCCAACACTGCACATTTTGCATGTCTCCTTAATCAAATACACCTGATTCAGGTCATCAGCTCATTGGTAGAGACTCCAAGACAGGGGTGTCCAAACTCTGTCCTGGAGTTTAGCTCCAACTTGCCTCAACACACCTGCCTTTAAGTTTCTAGTATGCCTTGACACCCCTGCTCCAAGACCAGAAATTAGTGTCAGAGAAAGGAGACATGCAAAATGTGCAGTGTTGGGGTGCCTGCAGGACCAGGGTTGGGAACCACTGTGCTAAATGACTTCTGTGAATAATTATGATGGGCTTGACTGAGAAGTGGGTAATTAACTTTAGATATAAAGTTACTTTATTACCAGGGTTGGGAACCACTGGTCTAGAGTGACCAGAGGTCCCATTTTTTCCAGGAACATTGCCGTATTTCAGCTCTATTTTTAGTGTCTCGAGAGCGAAAAAATTCATGTTTTGTCCCATTTCAAAATTTTTCCAACTGGGTGATCACAGGAAGTAGTAGGTCTAGTAGTGTTCGGTCACAAGAGAACAGCCCAATCAGAAGGTAACTAAGCTTGCCTTGTCATAGAACAAAAATACCATCCAAATCACAGTTCGTTATAGATTAACTTTCAGTAAGTGAAGGCGGGATAGATTGTGTCTCGAGAGCGAAAAAATTCATGTTTTGTCCAATTTCAAAATTTCTTTCCAACTGGGTGATCACAGGAAGTAGTAGGTCTAGTAGTGTTCGGTCACAAGAGAACAGCCCAATCAGAAGGTAACTAAGCTTGCCTTGTCATAGAACAAAAATACCATCCAAATCACAGTTCGTTATAGATTAACTTTCAGTAAGTGAAGGCGGGATAGATTGGCAGAATCACACTGAATGACACACACCAGAAGTGCGATCCTAGTTCTGCGATCAGCGCTCCTTGTGCCGGAATTGTCAAATACACACATAGCTGTCAAGATGTCCATTGTGTGGAGTATCTCATGAAAACAGACGTTATGGCTTAAGTGAACGTAAACAGGTGGGTAAAAACCATAGATGGTTTAAAAAAAAAAAAAATTTGCATCTATTGTATTAGTCTTATGGTTTGTAATTTGCTTTTTTAATTTAAACAAAACTAAGCATGTACATTTAAAAAAAAAAAAAAAAAAAAAAAAAAAAAAAAAAATTTGT